ATTGAATGTTTTCATTGTCATCCTAGAGGAAAATGGAGAAAGTGATTAGATATGGGGCCGCGAAAGCGGTCGGGCTAGTCACTATAAAAAGTTTACCCTACCACAGTTTTGCCCGCATGGGTAGCTCAGTTGGTCAAGAGCGTGAAATCTTAGACCGATGACCAGGGATCGAATCCCGCAAGCGGCAGTGTGGGAGCTATCCAAAAATCCCATAAAGGGTGAGGAGGCTCCTTGTGTGCGGTGGGCACGGGTCTAGCGTTCTTGACCGACTGAATCACCATGATTTACATCCTCCACCATTCCTATCGGGCAAGGGGGTAGGGGCGCCTGGGGTGGCAATTCCACCTTTTGGACCGAGAAAATGATTAGATATTCAGTGGTTTTTCCCACTAAAATGTAGGAGGAATTCCCTAAGTCGGAAAATTTTTCGAAGTATTTTCCTCAGTTGGAATTTCGCATGGCATACATACGAAAATTCTGATCAAACCTGCGCCACTTTCCATACTTTTAACTGCACCCATTATTTTAAAATATTTGTCTTTTTTTTTAATTTTTCTTCTACAAAATCTATTTTACTTGTAATTTTTTATCCACAAATTATCATTTGATAAAAATTATACTGTTGAATACCTCTCATCGAGTTCTATCTAACGAGACCAATTGTGCATATAAAATTTTAAATATTTTTTATTTATTTTTTAAGTCGAATATTATAATCTAATGTTTATTTTCCTCATTTTAAAACAAGAATTTTGCGAAATATTTGTATTTTTTAACCCAATGTTATTTTAAAAATGAAGAATAACTACTCGATTCAATCCCGCGAAAGTTGGGCCAGGGAGAGTGCGTGCGTAGACCTTATCCTTACTAAAAAGAAGAGATGTTGTTTCATTAAAACCCAGCTAGTAAAATATATTTTTTTAAATTTCATTTCTTAAATTTTTGTATGTCCGGATAGTAAAAAAGGTGATACATAACATTTTCTTTATTACTCCTTAGTCCATTAATTTATTTCTTACTTTCCTTTTTATGACATATACAATTCTTTTTTCGTTTATTATTTTGATTAAAAACTTTTAATGAGTGTGCTAATATATCTCTACTTTTCATCTACACTACTATATCACATCATATTAAATACAAACATGGAAGGCTTTTACATTTTTTAACTTTTCTTGTTCTCAATACTAATACAAAAGGGAAAGAAATTGTTGGAATGAGGGAGTAACATTTAAAGAAATATTATTATAAATTTAGTTCTTAAATTTTTAGTGTGATGATTTTAAATTATTATTTCAAAATACATAATTAATTATGTTTTGTGATTGTGATTTGTTAAGTTTTCGTAACATTGAAAACTTCGTATTGTTTCTATTATGAAAAATATTATTGTGATAAATAAAAGTGTTTGAAATGTTTTAAATTTTACGATTACCAAATTTATACATTGCGAGTATTTTTAGATCTGCAATGTTGGGTGAAGTGGAAGACTTTAGGGACATTTCGGAAAAGTCAATGCATATTTTACACTCCTTTAAAAATGACATATAGTCAATGTGGGAAGATGGAATTAGGACGGGGGAGTATTATTTACTTTCCTTATTTTATTGTTACCATAATTGTTAATGGTGGCATTGGCTCCCTAATATTTGAATGTTTAATGGTGGATCGGGCTGGATGGTTAATTCTGTAGATAATTGTGGATTGGGTTGAATGTATGGATTTGCACATTCGAAATTTCATTATTTTGAACTCCATATCATCAAGCAACGTTGTCCAAAATAGGAAACACAATGTTATTATTCACTTTCCTTATTTTATTGTTACCATAATTATTATTCTTTTACGATTATGATTCTCTTTGATGAAAAATATATTTTAAATATAATTCTAACCTAAAAATATAAGTGAGACATAATGTCAAAATTATATTCCTTCCGTTTCAATGTATTTTCTAGTTTGACCTTTTCAAATCAAACTAGATAAGTTTTGAGTTTCAATTAAATAAAAATCGTGACTAAAAAGTATTTAATTCATTGTCAAAGGGTGCCACAGTTTGACTAAAAAAGTCATACTGTGTAAACATTTTAGGGACGCGGGTATAAAAATAATACTACCTCAGTCCTTGAGTATTTTTCTAGTTTGATTTTTTTCGGTCAACTACTTTCAACATTTGACCTACAATTAAATAAAATATATATTTTATATTAATTAGATAAAATAATATTTTGAAAGTATTTGATATAATGAATTTAATAAAATTAATTTTGTATCAATATCTAATATCATTTTTTATTTAATTTGAGGTTAAAGTTTACTAATTTTAACCAAAAGAAATCAAAAATGAATTAAGCTAGGGGTACACCAACATGGGGTACCCCAAGTGTACACCAAAGCCAACACAGACACACAGACACAAAGTCTCTGTGTTGCACAAACATTTTGTGTCTGTGTGTGTCTGTGTTGGCTTGGTATACACTTGGGGTACCTCATGTTGGTGTACCCCTAGCATTGCCCATCAAAAATAGATAAATACTCAAAGACGGAAGGAGTAAATAAACTACTCCCACTTGTGCTGATCATGTGAGAGCAAAAAAGCACATTTCGCACTTATGGAATGCGAAAGTGTGCCTGAGGAATTAGATGGTGGGTTTTAGGAATTTTATTTTGGTTTTTTTCCATGTGAGGGAAACCACCCCTAAAATGTATGACAGTATGACACCAAATCACTTCGCAGTCAGATTTCAAAGGTTGGCCTCAAAGGCGGCGACTCTGTGCCTTCTGTTCTGTTTCCAAAGCACCCTGAGTCACTGCTATCTTCTCCTCCTGATATTGACCTTTCACCTCTCTACATCTATTTTTTAGTTTAAAAAAACCATAATTACATATCCAGGAATAATAATGATTAAGGACTGTTATTATTTTTCATATAGAACTAGTTTCAAGAAGAAGAAAAGAAAGAAAGTACTAATAACCATTGGGCAGCTAAGATGTAATCTAGCAGGCCAAGATGAGAATATCTCAAGAGTTGGTTCACATTTATCTTCTGCATATATAAAGCTGCACACAATTGAAAAATCCAAAATCTTGAAATCTTTTTTATGATCACAGAATGACCAAAGAAGAAGAGGAAGAAGAAAAAACCTAAATTTGTTTCTTTTTAGAAGGTAGGGATTTAGAATAAAAATCCTACTTTTTTCTGCTTATTCAGTTGAACAATTGGTTTTTTTACTTCAACTTTTAGCTTACCCATACAGTTTTTTACTTTAACCAATTAAACAAAATTAATTTTGAAAAGCAAAAGCAGGAGATGATGATCATCCTCTTTGGCCACTAACCAAATAGAGTGTAAATTTCAAAAACCATGTCACAACTTGAAAAAAAAGGGTCAATTCTTAGCATGGTATAATCTCTTGTCTCAACAAAACTATCCACTATATATCTCACTATGTAAATCTTGTCATATAACATTGAAGACATATGAAATTGCATGAAAGGTAGTTAACACTTCACTATTTTTTTTAAAATATCCCCCAAATAATGAATACCCATTGTCAAACATTAGAAGATCCTTCTTGACTGCTTACAAAAAATAACCACCAAAATGCCAGAGCAAGAAGAAATATATTTTTTTAAAATAAAGTTTAGATTTTTTTTCATTAATTTCCCTCAAGATGATGACTGCCCATTCTCAAGAACCATCTTATCTTCCATGTCTATAACTAACCAAATAATAAAATTTAGATTTTTTTCTCTTTAGTTTTTTGTCAAGAAACGGCTGAAGTTACTGTTAGTCATAAACAAGAATTTTATAACTACTAGAAGATTGTAATGTTAAATACTTGAGTGTGGAGTGGGTCATGAAGCTTGGGCGGAATAAACTCCGTAGAACCATTTTACTCTTCTTGCACAAGAAAGCTCCCTTGTTTCCACTAACCCTAACTCTAGAGAGCTCGCAGATCGCCCACAAGGTGCCGCGGGATCTCTCTCAAACAAAAAAACATAGCATTTAACCATAGTTTTGAAATTACAATATAGAATCTACAAATTATATCTCGGATAGAAAATTAGCGAAAGAAATAACAATTAAATACTGAAAATTTTAGAAAAATGGATAGGGCGATAACCTTAGAAGATCAAACCCAATCTTGTAGAAGAAGAGAAGCTTTGAGAACCGGCAGGAGATGTCCCTTGAAAATTCCGCCAGAGAGCCTTGCGATTGAGGGAAAGAGTTGACGATGATGAAAAGAGAAACGGCATAGAGGAGGAGATTGACGGAAGAAAGATTGGGAATAAATTTTATATTTATAAAGAAGTCCCCAGGACTAAATAGCAAAGTCAGATCAATTTTGACTTATTTAAATGAGATGGCAAAAAAACCACGTGTCCAATTATGACTGGAACAAGTGTGGAGTGTTTCAAAACACTCTCTTCACTAGGTGCACCTAAGGTAGTGGTGAGCGTGGTATGCTATGGTACGGTATTTGATTCGTACCGATACCGTACCATATATTTCGATTCAGTATGAGATTTTACATCGTACTGATACCGATCCCGAAATATCAGTTCGGTATGGTTCTGAATGATTCGGTTTTGGTAAATATATTAAGATGAATATATATACATATCTAGTTTGCACTATGAAATGTATAGAATCCTTTATTTAAAAAAATTGAAAGTACATTTCAAATAGCAAAGATAAAAAATTGAAAATTGATAAATTAAATACAAGAAATATAATACTTATAACACGCATTTTAATTTATACTTCGTATTAATCACACAAAAGAAAATGAATGATAACAAAATAGTATTTGAATGTTTGTTAATTTTTTTATATTTATCTACAAAAAAATGAAATTTAAATAGATGATTATTTAAATAAAAGATTATTTGTAATTCATATACACCTAAACCAACTCTTCAAAATTAAATTATTTTGAAGAAATATAAAAATATTATTATTTTTATAACATATTCATATATATGTTCAGTTCGGGATTTTTCGGCATGAGAAGTTACCATGTACCGATCCTAATACCAGACCGATAATTCGGTTCGGTATTTTATCGATTCGATATTTTTTTATTCAGTAATCTCGGTTTTTTGAAAAATTTTTGAAATTGGTTTAGTAGTTTCTCATTTCTACTCTACCCTAAGGAAAAACACCGCTAGCTGACCCTTGCCTGCCCGACTTGCGCCTTCTACAACATTATAAGGATTTTGGAAAAAAAAGATGAAACAAGGGCTTGTTTTTTTCCTACATCTTTTTGCAAGTTTGGATTGGGCCCCGTTCTGTTCAACTTATTTTTTTTTTATTCTTATTAAAATCAGATCAGATTAGGCCTAATCAGATCAGATCGAATCAGATTAGAATAGATCAGATCCAATCAGATCAGATCAGACCAAATCAGATCGTATCCCATCAAGAATTATTATTATTATTATTATTATTATTATTATTATTATTCTTAAAAATGAAAAAAGAATAAACTTTAGAAACAAGTTAAATAGAAAGCTGAGAAAGTAATCCTTAATTATTAGACGCCGGAAAAATAATTTTTAAAAAACATTGACAATGTCAATCTAATTCTACTTTTAAAATACATTTTTACTGCTACCTGTAATTTGAGTTTCTACAGTTTTGATCTTTTATAAGGATGAGATATTTTAATAAAAATACTTTCTCTTCTATATATTGATTATCTAAATTTAATTACTTTTTAATGTATATATAAATTAAATATTTATTCTAATGTATATATGAAGTAATTATTAAAATATTAAATTAATATTCTAATTTCACAAAAAAAATAATCATAAAATAAAAAATATTATTGCATTATAATATGAATTATTATTCTAATATATGAATTAACTAATTTTATTTTATTAAAAAATGATCATAAAATAAAAAATATTGATTGTATTATAATATGAATTATTTTCAAATGTTATTATAAAGTCAAATCAAATCATTGATTTGATTTTAAATCAAATCATAATTAATCAGATCAGATCGAATCAAATCCAACATGATCAGATCAGATCAGATTCAATCAAATCAGACCAGAGCAGATCCAATCATATCAGATCATATTCAATCAGATCAGATCAGAACTATAAAAAATCAAATCAGAAAAAATAAGTTCAATAGAATGGAGTCTTTTACTTTTTTGGATTTGTCTAGACTTTGGAGTGGAAAACTAAAATTTTGTGTGTCATTCTAACAGGGGCCATTTCCCTGCATGTGTAGGATTGTGGAATTGTATTCCATTATATGTAATTTTAAAATGCATTTTCCCAAATAATGCAAACCGGAGTAGCTTACTCCGTTTGCCATAAATTATTTAGTCAAAACGGAGTAGCCAACTCCGTTTCCAATGATTAATTAAGGAAACAGAGTAGCCAACTCCGTTCACTATTTTTTTTTAAATCCAATTTTTTCTTTATTCCTCAACTTTGTTCCTATAATTTTTTAAAAATCAATTTTGTTCCTTAGCCAACTCATTCACGTATTTTAAAAAAAAACAAATTTTTTCTTCATTTCTCAACTTTGTTCGTATATTTTTTAAAAAAAATCAATTTTTTCCTTTATTTCTTATAATTGAAAAACAAAAAAATACAAAAAGCAGCAAATTATTTACATATAATGAAACAAACAATCTACTAAAAATAAAATGCATAAAGGAAATTATTATTTATTGACTTTAAATAATGCACCATACACCGAAATTAAAATAAGAAGTAAATCACAACAAATTTATTCATAAAGTACATAAGATTTATTCATAAAAATAAGGTTACAAAACACATGCCATAACTAATTTATTTTATGAAATTCATAAAACATAAAGTTAGACATAATTGAAATCCTTGATATAGATATTGTTCACTGCGACGTCGCCGTGGTCGGTAGTCCATGTTATTCGGATAACGAGTTGTTGTAGGTCGACCGGTTTGTGTCCTTGCTCGTGCAGTTGGTCTCACTATCTCGTATCCTAGAGTAGGCCATTCGGCCTCATCGGGAAGCGGCATTAGGATGCCCGAATAAGCATTGATGTAGGACTGGATTGAAAAAATACTAGGAATCAAATGATCCACGGTTACTCTACACTGATGACATACTGCGTGGACATGAATGCACGGAATGTGAAATGCTACCCATTCTCCACAGGTACATGTTCGTGCATTTAAGTTTACCGCAAATGTTTCGCGGTGACCATTGGTGGAGGACCCATCCACAACCACAGAGTATATCCCATGTTGTGCATGGTGCTGCACAACACGACAATAAAGCCTATTTTCTTCATTGTTCTTGATATTTTTCCACACATTCATAGGAAAATTATACCCAGATTGTTACCACAAATATCCATTGGTTCGCCTATCAACAAAAAGCTTGACCAATTTGTCATAGGTGAACCTCACAATGGCAAAGACGGGCAAACAACGACATCCCTTAAGGACATTATTGAAGCTTTCTGATGAATTTGTTATCGTTATACCATAGCGTGAGCCACCTTCATCATGGGACAATGCCCACATGTGTTTTGGAATAGCCATAAGCCAGTTGTAAGCTTCTTGATTTTTTGACGCTATCTAGAGAAGTGTCTGCTCAAACTCACTTCTGCTAGGGGTCTCACCAGCTTTGTACATCATATTCCTCAGTTTCTTACTTCGAATTGAGGGGTCTATACCCGGCATTTGCTGCTGCTTGTATGAACCAAGTGCATTGAGGGGCATATACACAACTTGCTCTCCAATAACGGCTCTAATTCGCTTTTGTGTGAAAGTGTCTGTGTTCCGCAATGTTCCGTAATGACACAGCTTGTTGTAGACTTTGGAAAGAAGGATACCTGTTTCCAACCTCAATAATTGGGATGTGGAACGTCGACCTCAAGGACCTATGTGTTTCGCGTCTATGCATGTCCTGTAATTGTGGCACTGCACGAACGTCCTGACCATCGTCTCCTTCATCTGAAGATATGTCCTCTTCCTCTTCCGAAGATTCTTCATCTTCCGTTGAGGGTGCAATGTACTCAGCATCATCTAGATCGCTATCAACATGTTGAGTAAAATGGGATGAAGAGGGCCGATCCATTGTTTGCTGAAAGAATGGATTACCATCCTCTTCCTCCTCAACATTTTTAGACACTCTAATGAATACTTCAATTGCATTGTATTCATGTGATGCTTTCCGTATAAAATGCCGCCATGTTGGTTCATCGTTGATTGGGAGTGGTCGTGAACCAACATAAACCCCTGATTGATGTCTGGGGAATTTACCGTAGATAGATTTCACGCCTTGGAATCCATGTTCAAGAACATCACTAGTAATTTGACCAAGAAAGGTGTCGTAAGATATATCAGAATTAAACAACAAAGACTTATTCGGAAACTCAGAGTATTGAACTTCACTATTAAGGATTTGTATCTCACCATTCCAATGAGCTACAAGAAGTATACTATTCTCTTCTGACATTATTTATTTTGGTGAGTAGAATAATGGTGATGGTGTGTTCGAAATAAAGAAGGTGAGTGGTATTTATAAGATGTAGAGTGAGGTTGATTGGGGGTGAGTATTATTTTAGTTAGGTGGGTAAATGGGTAGGTGGTGGATATTAGTAATTGGGAGTGAGAAGGGAGCTAGGTGGAAGTCAGTGTTATTATTCGGAAGGAGGGTGTGACTATTATTGTAGGATAGGTGGGGTTGAGTATTATTTTAGTTAGTCGGGTGTGAGTAAATGGGTAGGTGCGAGGTGGGTGTGACTATTATTGTAGGGTAGGTGGGAGTGGGAGTGGTTATTATTTCAACATAACACATCGTAAAAATTAAATTACCAAACCAAATATATCTAAAATTTACTTCAGAATTTAAAATAAAATAATCTAATAGATTTAATACATATTTTTTAATATTTTAAATTTATATAATACAAAAAGCAAGTGTTAATGTAAATTTAAAAATTTTAAAAACCAAAGTTATAATCCGTTGGGTCGACCCAAATCCGATCATTCGGGATTGGTCGACCCAATCTCGAATCCGAATTGACTCAAACCCGAAATAACCCGAACATGACCTGACCAATCGATTTTCTAGCTCTAAATTTAAGCATTGTATTTATCATTTTTTTCATAAATTGATAAATTGTATATGAATGAAGTACAAAATATTCTTTAAAAATCAACAAAAATCATGGGAAGAACATTAACATAACAAAAACATATAAAAATAACACCTACACATGTAATTGCAACGTTCCCCAAAAAAATGCAAAAGGATCAAAATCAATTAATCCACTCAAGAAATTGAAAAGAGAGAGGATTACCTAATTGAAAAAAGAAAGCTACTCTGTCTCATTAAATAACTAGTATTTTGACCCGTGCGATGCACGGGGTCGAATGAAACTGTTGTCGATTTTGAAATTTTTCAATGAAATATTTATTCCAAAATCAAGTAAATATATTTCTGTCACAAATTTTAATCAATGGAAAACAATGACAAAGTAGAATATAATATTTGAGAAATTGAAAGTGTACTCGAAAAAATCTTTTTTAATTCCAAATTTTTTGAAAGACTTTAGTGTACACAACATTTTTTGTATCGTTGTAAGCATTTTTATTTTCATCTAGAACCAATATTTTTAATCATGTCTTTTTCTTTACTCGTGAAACAGTAACATAAACCTAACCATGAGTAATCCCGAATTGGTTAAAAATAATATAGCAAAGGACAATGTTTGACATTGACTTTTGTTTATAGTCATAGCAAAACATAAGACTATTATATTGAGAATTCTATCAGATGATACCAAATTTTATTCAGGGTATGTAAACCTTTTTCTCCAACGCGATTTCTCGAAACATCAATTACATTGATAATGTTCTTTCACATCTCTTTAATGATTAATCTTTTACCAATACACAATCCATATATTTGGTCAATGTTCTTCAATAACATAATCAGTACCCCCTTTTAAAAACTATTTTATGGTTT